GCTTGCACTGAGTCTCAGAGAATAACCTAAAGTGTTGGTCTCAAGAATGAAATGTCCTTGAAATCCCTTATGTTATCTTTGCAATTGAATATGGATTTTGTATCCTTCTCCATAATCTATTAGTGGCTATTTTCATTAAAAATAGTGGTTGGGGCATGCTCTCACTTACATGAAATAGACAAATATATAGAAACCAAAACTTATTATTGGTTACCAGGAGGTGGAGAGGGGAGAGGAGGAGTTATTGCTGAGGGAGCATTGAGTTTCTGTTAATGGTGGTGGAATGACTTGGAAAAGGATGTGCTTGATAATTGTTGTATAACATGAATAATATAATCAATATTACTGAATTACATATGCAAAAACTGTAGAATTGGTTGATTTTTTTATATATATTTTCAACACACACATATACACAGTGGTAGGGTAGGGGCCTTCAAATATTTGAAAAGTTTATCCATTGGCTCTTCACAGCCCTGGATGCAACTATGAGCTTTCACCCCTATGGGAGCCCAGCACTGAATCCCTCTGAACTCCTTTTCTGCCAGCAGTTGCTCAGCCCTGCAGGAAAGGGTTGGATTCCAGCCTCACAGGGAAGGGCAGGGGTGTTGGTGCTTCCAGATTCACCTCCCAGGGTCTCTGGAAGTGGATCTGACCATTGTGTAGGCTTTGTGTGTGTGTAGTATCTTATAGAGTCACCCTACAAAGCCCCTCATGCTCTGAGACCAGTCCTGGTCTGGGGTGTGGAAAGTTGTCTCTGACCTCCTTTGGCGTCTAGAAAACCAAAAGTGAGGAGGAAGCCAGTGTTCCAAAAGGCTCTCTCAGCTGGCCTTCCTGCCTGCCCTGACATTGAGGAAACAGCTTGAGGTTTCTGTACCATGCCCTCACCTTGGGCAATATCTCCACCCCTCATAGATGCCTTCATTTCACCCTGATGCAATCCTAGGAGGTTCAGTGAAGGGCAGTGCAGTGGGAGGAAGAAAGTGGGAGGGCCGCTGGTCCCAGCTCGGTTGCTCTAGCCCTCTGGAGAAAGGATTGGCAGGGCAGTTCCCCCTTTCCCCCAATTCCAGGCTCTCAGCACCCACCTGCTAGGCCCTGGGGATGGAGGAATCTAGTTTCAAGGGTGGTCTGGGCAAGGCCTGGTGAGGAAGAGGTTAGGGGAGAAGGGTGAGGTGCTCTAGTGTCCCATTCTTCAGTGACCCAGCCTCACTTCTGCCCAAGCTGTGGTGGGGAGAGAGCCTAGTGCCCACCTGGTGTCAGTTCTAGTTTTGCACCTTCTCTAAATGAAAGAAAGCTCTGCCAGTAGGAAAGCTTCTGATTGTGTCCCAGGTTGGGTCACAAGGTCAGAGTTTATTCCCAAGGACCTGAGGTTATGTCCCATCATTGCATCCCATTGGGTCTTCCTGGATCCCCAAATCACCTCCATTGTGGTCTTCCCTTGCCCCAGGAGCAAGGGGAGGGAGGACATCCCCTGAGAACTCTCAGGGAGCTCTTGAATCAGGCCACCCATGGGGCATCCAGAATTCCTGGTTCCCGTTTAATTTCATTCCTCTGATTTCTGATGTAGCTAGACTCTGGCTGTCCTCTGTCCTTCAGCCTGGGGGCCACCTATGAGCTCAGGATCCCTAATGGACCAAAGAAAGTACCAAAAAAGTGAAAAGACAACCTAACGTTGGGCAGAATATATTTGGAAACCATATTATCTGACAAAAATCTAATAGCTAAAATAAATATATAATTTTGACAATTTAACAACAACAAATATAATCCAATCATAAAAGGGGCAAAGGACTTGAATAGACATTTCACCAAAGAGGACATTCAAATGGCCATCAGACACATGAAAAGAGGCTCATTGTCATTAGTCATCAGAAAAATGCAAACCAAAACCACAAAGAGTTACTATTTCACCCCCACTAGGATGGCTAAGACAGAAAACAAACAAACCCCCAAAAAAGCAGAAAATAACAAATGTTGGTGAGGATTTGGGGGAAATTAGAACCACTGCTGATGGGAATGCAAAATGGTACAGTTGCTGTGGAAAACAGTGTGGCAGTTCCTTAAAAAACTAAATATAGAACTATCATATGACCCAATAATTCCACTTCTAGGTATAAACCCAGAGGACATGAAAACGGAGACTCAAACAGAGATCTGTATACCAGTGTTCATTGCAGCACTGTTTCAATAGCCAAAAGGTGGGAAACAGCCTAAATGCCCACCAACAGATGGATGGATAAACAAATGTCAAACATACACAGAGAGGCATACTACTCAGCCAGTAGGAGAAATGAAATCTTGATATATGCATGCTACAGTGTGCATGGAGCTTGAAGACATTATGCTGTGTGAAATAAAAAATCACAAAAGGACAAATATTGTCACTTCATTTATATAAAAAGATAACAAAAGGCAAATGTATAGAGACCAAAGTTCATTAATGGTTACTAGGGGCAGGAGGGAGGGGAAAACAGGGGGTTAATGGTGATGAAAAATGGCATTAATGGTAAGGTCGCATAGCTGATTGTTGTACTTGCTGTCAATAATTTGTACAAAACTGAATTGGCAAAATTTGTGTGATAGACATATTTATAACAATGACAACAACAAAAACAGAGTGGCTGCTTAGGTACAACCAAATACCTCATGGGATTTGATTCCTTGGTTTGGAGGCTTAGGGTCATCATTTCATGGGACATTCCAGTTAACTGGTCTAATAATAACATGTTCAGTGCTTCTGTTCTACCTCCTAGTTCGTTGTGTAGGGCCTAGGGTTTTAAAAGCTTGCAAATGGCAATCCAAGTCCTCAAAATTGGTCTCTATTCACCTGGAACAACAGAGGAAGAAGGAGAATGAGAAACAGGAGGAACGTATGGAATGTGCGGTTAATTGCCTCCATGAAGAACTGCCTCCTTTGCCATGAGACCAGAACTGGATGGTGCCTGGCTACCATTACTGAACATGTTGATCAAAGATTCCACAGAAGAATCCTGATCAAAAAGGGGAAAATGGAGAACCGAATTTCATATTCCCATGGACTAGACCTTCTGGAGCCACAGAGGGTGGTTGAACCTTAAACTAAAGGTATCCCCTGAAGTCTTCTTATAATGGAACAATAATTTAGCTTAACTAGTAAAGAATGTCTGCCTTGACATTGTGCTCTTTTAAGAACTATCTATACAGGATTGATCAAATTGACAGCAGCAATTCTAAAGATCAGACAGAAATCTTAGGGGTGAGTTGATGTTAATGTAGGAGGAATAACTCAGAAAAGGAGGGTGAGAATGGTTATACAACTTGAAGAATGCAGTCAATGTCACTAAATTGTACTCGTAGAAACTGTTGAACTGGTGTGTGTTTGGCTGTGTATATTCTCAACAACAGCAAAATAAATAATGTTTAAAGAAAAAGAAGGCCAACAAAGCCCCTAGAAGCTTTCAGCCTGGCTGGCATAAGCTAGGTAAAATGGCTGTGCCCTCTCCTCTCTCTGAGCCCTGGCCGCAGCCACAGTCACCGTCACAACTCCAGCCAGGCAACCATTCCTCACTTGTCCATGTATTCACTGGTTTGCCATCCAGGTAAGAGTGCATTACACACCCTCTCCATGCTCCACTTTGTGTCAGGGACTCAGAACATCAGAGAAAGGCCCTGGCTCCCCAAAGTTCACAATCTAGCTTGGGAGGGCAGACGAGCCCAGGTTCTTTGCTAGGTGGGTACCCCCAGGCCTGGTGTGACAGCTGGATGGGAGTGTGGACAGTAAGGACTGGAGGGAGTCGGGGGCGGGGCTAGGGCACTTGTAAAGGAGAAGGCTCTTGAACTGAAGGATATGGACTTGGACAAAAGAAGAGGGACCTCCCCAGTGATGCTGACAGGCTGGGTGGGGGCGCAAGAGACGAAAATGCAGGCGTGTGTTCTGCAGATCTTGAGGCACCAAGGAGGGAGAGTTGGTGCAAAGTGGAAGGTAATTCTGGAGTCCCATGGGGGAGAGGACCTGGAATGATATCCAGTGGGTACACCAACAGACGATACACGTGTCCCCATGTAGGATGTACTAAGCCGTGTGTAAGCCTGCATGTGTTCCGTGTGTGTGTGCGTGTACAGAGTGTTCCCAGCCCACCCAGGCTCTGGAACCTGCAGCCCAGCCTGCTCCAACTTGCCTAACTCTTCACAAAGATCAGATTTCATTTGTTCATCCATCCATTCATTCCTTTCAGCACCTACCATATACCAGGCCCTGGGCTGGGTTGAGAGGTGTAGGAGTCAAGTCCCTGACCAGAAAATGCCAAGGCTGGTGGATGAGGGCAGACACAAACTATGGCCATTAGAAATGGTACTAAGTTAAAAGCAAAAAACCAAATCCATTGCCATTGAGTAGATCATGACTCTTAGCAACCCTATAGGACAGAATAGAACTGCCCCATAGGGTTTCCAAGGCTGTAAATCTTTACTGAAGCAAACTGCCTCATCTTTCTCTCCCAAGACGCTCGTGGATTCAAAGCGCCAACTTTTTGGTTAGCAGCCCAATGCTTTAACCACTGCGCTACCAGAACGCTTTTGGAACTAAGTTAGATGGACATACACACATCTCTTAGGCTGTGCAACAATAATAATCCTCTCCAAAAAGTAATGGAGAGGAGTAAGAAACAGCTTTAAACTGGCAGTAAAGAGGAGCTAACTCATTCAGACACCCAGCCGGATCCTCTGTCTGGGCCTCAGTTTCTCGGCTTCTGCGGGGCTGGGATGTGGTTGGTGCTAGATTGCCAGGAAGGCCCTCCCGTGGAGCCCTCGGGAGAGGCAGTGCCTCCCGCAGCCCCCTGGGGGCGCCCAGGAGCAGGCGGCGCCCTGCCGTCGGCCGCCCTCCGACGCTCCGCTCTCACTCGCTGGGAGGTTTCCCCTGGCCCGCCGCGTCCCGCCCGCTCCCCGTGCACAAGGCACCCCGTCTCCCTGCGCGCCCGCCGCCCAACTCGAGCCGGCTGCGTCAGACGCTTCTCCGCCCGACCACGACATGGGCGTCCCCACGGAGGCCGGCGGCCGGCGCTGGGGGCCCGTGCTCCTCGCGTTCTTCTTGGCTGCCTCTCGAGGTAAGACCGGCGGCGTCAGGCTGGGCGCTTGGGAAGTGCCCCGGGGGGGACCGCGGGCGGTGGGGGGGGACGCCCTGGGAATCTCTTCAGCCTGCTGTGATCCCCACTTCGTGGCGCAGAGTTCTGCTTGGGTCGTTTGGCAGGGTGCAGCGGCGTCTCTGCCAAGTGCCCTGGATGGGCATTGGTCATATCTACATACTCTGACAGCTGACTGAGCAGCAGACTGCCTGCATCCCAGGGACTGCCTGTCCCACCCTTCCCTGCCCAGAGAGCCAGAGCACAAGTGGTTTCTACAGAGCTGGACATGGACAGGGTTGAGACAGCCCCATTGTGTTCTTGTGGATGTGACTAGCTTTTGACACCTGTGGCATTTCCCAGTCTCTCCTGTCACAGGGCTCCAGCATCTCAGAGGATGTGGGGTGTGTGGCACTCCCAGCCAGCCCCCATGCCCTGGCGATACTTCTGGCTGAGCCTTGCTGGGCATTGGGAGCCAAAGAAGGGACTAGTCCTAGTGGGCACTGGCCCACTCCAGACATGGGTAGCACTGCCCACTGGTCCCTATTCTGAGGGTCAGCTGATTCCCCAGCACCCTAGTGAGGCTGCCGCTCAGGATCTGTATGGGACACTCCCAGCTGAGCCATCAGCCCCTTGTGGATCCTTGAATAACTTGTGGCATTTCTAGACTGTCAGATCTCCAGGTAGTGTCTTGGCCAGGACACAGTGGCTCCCAGGAGGTGGGGGGCCAGCGCAGAGGTCTCGGTACCTACAGGCTGGCCTTGGCTCTGGACTGCCCGGAACTGAAGAGGCTGTACCTTTAGGGAAGAGGGGGCTGGCAGGCAGCCTGTGGGACCAAACTTTATGAGGAGGGCCCAGGGAAAGTGTGAGTCATGCAGGGAGTCAGAGGGAGGGAGGTGGAGGGATTGGCAAAGGGACCCAATGGGCGGGTCGGAAGAAGAGAAGGAGGAGGAGGACAGCATAAAGGGGAGAGGAGGAGGCCAGAGGAACCACTTGGAGGCTAGCCTGGCCTCTGATAAGAAGAAAGGAACCCACATCCCACACATCAGAACTGGCTAAGCCCTGGCCTGGATGTTCCCCAAGATGACAACAAGGGAGAGTCGTCCCTAAGATGGGGGGTGGGGGTTGGTTCCCAGCACCAAGGCCATAGCCTGCTGGTAGGGCATGGTATCCAGAAGGAGCAGGGGATGGTGATAGGTGGGAAAGTCAGCATTTACCCACTGCAGGCCACCTGCCTTGCCCTGCCCTCCCCTAAGAGACCCCATGAGGCCCTTCCTGTTTTTTAATCCTCACCTTGCTATTAAGCAGCCTCAGTTTCAGATGCTGAGTTTTAGAGAACCAGCCAGCCTCCCTGGCCCCCATTGTCTACCTGCTCCCCATTGTCTACCTAGCCAGGAGCTTTCATCCCCAGAGACCTTGGTGCTCCAAAAGACCATCTCTTCCTGGATCCAGTTCAGGGAGAGAGAGTTAGGGCTCCAAGCAGTCTGACCTCCTAACTCAAAGTAGCCTGACTCCTGAAGGGGTCAGAATTCACTTAGCTTTGACTTGTTCTGGAACTTAGTATTCTCAGCTATAATATGGGCACAGTAGGATATTCATCCTACTATCTCATACTGTGTGCAACAAAGGAGATAATAGATGATCATTAGGGTCTGTGAGTTGGTGTGATTCCTAGTGCCTGGGAACAGTGGGGAAGACCTGCTCACTCCTTGATGAGGTGCTGGAACTCCCTGGGCATGACCAGTTTCTCAAGGTCAAAGCCTTTATGTCTGGGGCAGTGAGCTGGAGGTGGCTTGTACAGAGCTGTTCTCCAGCTCTTGAGGCTGGGCCAACACTAAGGAAAATGAGTGGTAGTGGTGAGTATGGTGCTCACGGAGCCCAGAAAGATCGAACACTTCTCGTTCGTGGGCCTGACTCAGGTGAGATGAGTGGAGGGGAACACCTAGGGAGCCAAGACTCCACTAGACCGCAGAGGTGGTGGAGCCTCTTCTAACCTTATAGGTATTTTCAGGGCCTGCAGGATGCCCTCATAGGCTGCACTGACTCAGGAGTCCCAAACTCTGGGACTAACGCATTCGAGCTCATGGAGTACACTGGGGCTGGGGATGGCAGACCCCTACTTCCCCTGCAGCATCTTCCCTTTCCGGGTAAACTAGGCTGCAAGACCATGCTTAGTAACCCAGTGGTGCAAGCCTCTGACACATTGATGGCCAGGTCTTAGGAAATCCACACCCCACTGCCCAAAAGCCCTGAGGTGGAAAGACACAGCCTTAGGGCCAGGCCATGGGCACAAGGAGCATCTCCTCAATGCCAGGGACACCTAGGGGCCAGCAGTACCGGGGACCCCCTCACTAAGTTGGGCTGGTGGCTGCTCCTAGGAGTACCTTGTGGTTGTTACAATTTCCTCATAAGTGGGACAAAGGTTCCCTGCAGGGGCTTGGTCTCTGTGAGAATGTGACCCAGGCAGTGAGTTTTTTTTTTTTTTTTTTGAACAGGCAGTGGTGTCCCATTCAAAGATGGCAGCCAACTGTGCTTCTTTGAATGTGTGTCAGTCAGCTGCCATCTTTGAGTGCGGCACTACTGCCTGTTTCCTACTACTACTACTACTCATTGCCATCTAGTCATTTCCAACTCATAGTGACCCCCATTGGGTTTCTGAGGCTGTAAATCTTTATGGAAGTAAATCGCCCCATCTTCCTTCTGCAGAGTGGCTAGGGGGTTTGAACCACTGACCTTCTGGTTAGCAGCCAGATGCCTTGTCCACTACACCACCTGTTTCCTACTAGAGTCAAAATCCAGCAGGCAAGAGATTTGATTGCTATGCAACCCACATGCTACCCTTGTTTCCATAGGCCATGACTGAGTTGTTTAGAATTAGTTCAAAGCTCTGATAACAAGAGTTTCCTATACAGCCCCTTTCTTAAGTTTAGCTTCTGGAGTCAGTCAGACCTGGCTTCAAATTCTAAGCTGGCCATTTGCTGATCTGTGGCTTTGGGCAAGTTCCTTAGCATCTCTGAACAAGTTCTTTCATCTTTAACTTGGGGATGATGATAGTACCCTCCTCAGATGGCTGTTGTGAGGCGTCAATGAACAAATAGTTAATACAGTGCCTGACACATGTGGTTACTGTTTAATATTATGTTATTTCTTGGCTTCTAGAAACTACATGCCATTCATTGATCCTTGATCTAAACTCCTTGCTGAGTGTGGAGGGCATGGGAAGATGTTGACTAGTTTCACAGGGACTGGACACTCCAGAATCATGGAAGTCTGAAGGGTGCCCAGGGTCAGTCCAGCCACCCACCTATAGGCAGTTACAGCCTCCATTACCATGGGGGTGCTTGTAGGTGCTTCTTAAAGTTCTCCAGAGATGAGGACTTTGCAACTTCAAGGGGAGCCCAATCCAGGGTTTGTTTATCTCAGTGGGATCTTTCTTTTTAAAATTTTTATTGTGATTTGGGTGAAAGTTTACAGAGAAAATTCATCTTCCACGCAGCAATTCATACACATTTTGTTTCATGACATTGACTGCAATTGCCCACAATGTAGCAGCGCTCTTCCTACTTCCTCCCTGTAGTTACCTCTTCCCTGTCCTTCTTTGCTATGCATTCCTGCCTCCTGCAAACGCTGCCCTTCTGTTCTCCCATGACTGATTGTTCTAAGGAGTGTATCTAGCTGATGTAAATGTTCACCCTATATGCCTATTCTTTGGCTGGAAGCCATGGGAGTGAGTTCAAGGCCAGACCTGAAGGGTAACTAGGGGCCATAGTCTTGGGGGTCTCACTATGCTCAGTGGGGTCTTTCTTGCATCTGACCTTTACATTCAGTCTATTTACTGTGGCTGACCCTCCTCAAAGACAGGGCGCCATCTTGCTAATCCATAGTCCAACAATGAGGTTGCTCTGCTACCGACCAAGCAGCTCAGTTCCTTTAATCTTTCTATGTTGGGTCTTATTTCCCATGGGGACCTGGGGTCAAGTCCTGGCTCTGCTCTTCACTCATCCTGGGACCATAAACACCCATGCCCCTTTAATCTGCACAATGGGAAGTTTGAGTAATTCCATGAAGGTGTTTCTCATCACCTTTGCAGTCTCTGCAATAGCTGCCTGTCATCATATTTACTTATTTTTTCCTTTAAATCTACTCTTTTACTTAAATTAACATATTTTAAAAGGAAACTTTATATCACTGCCACAAATGGAAAGCCAGTATCACTCGCCATAAATAGAACAAAATCATAAAAGCACATAATAGGAAAACCAAATAAGGGGATTAAATTGTAGCTGGAAACTATGGCCCAGGGGAGGCTCAGACCCTGAACCTGTAGTCCCTTGGCAAATTAAAAAAGATTAGAAGTGACAGAGATGTTTTGAAGACATATTAGCATTAAACTGGCACTTTCTTTTTGACGTCATCAGGACTGAAACACGATTGAAAAGGGAATAACCTCCTCTTTCTGTGAGTCAATGTTATTTAATGCCATAAAACGAAAAGTAAAACTCCCTATGATATAGATGTCTTCAGCTCTTCTCCATTACTTCAGAAGCAAATTCATCACTGTGTGGGGAAGGTGCCACTCTCCTGTGGGCAAGGGAAGAGCCTGGAGGCCAGGCGGGACCAGAGGGCCTGTCTGGGTTTCTCCCAGCCCAGTTCATTCCCCAGTCAGAACTAATGTCCAAATAAACACAGCAGTCAGTCAGGTCCTCTCCATGCTGGGGTCAACCAGCTGTCCCAGGAACCGCAGCAGAAGAGGGAACAGGAGAGGGAGCCAGCAGCCTCAGTGGCAAGGGCCCAAGCAAGCTGGGTCTGCACTGGCCAGGCCAGCTGTCATCTGCAGGAGGGAGGTAGGACCTCCAGTAAACCCCTGGCTTCCACTAGACTCTATATGATAATAGATGACTCCAGAATGCAGGAGCCAGACTGAGAATAACCCAAAACAAATCAGTTGCCATTAAGTCAGTTCCAACTCACGGTACCCCCATGTG